AGAGATAGCTAATGAAACACTAGCCTCTGAGCAGGCAAATTGACATTTACTGTATTCAAGATGCAAAAAAGAGGGAGCGCTGCTTTGACATCAAGTATAAAGACAAAGAGGTGCTCATCAGAGAACGGGGTATAACTTTTTTATAGCGACCAAATGAAGTTGCAACTGTGTAAAAACATATTTAAAAAAAATCCAAGGCACAAAATCCAAGCCTTTATTTTAGCATCTATTGCATAGCAACAATAAAACCCACCAACGCGTTGACACTCACAGGCCTTCTTCAGGGGTGCACCCAGGCCTTTGAGCCGCAATGCGTTGGTGCTTTCAATAAATTTGCTAAATGTTTAACAGAGACCTCTTCATACGATCAAGACAATTCCTATTGCATGCTGCAGTGTTCACTCACTCAAAAATGAAGGTTACGTTATGTGAGCTATTGGATCACTCCAATATGGTATCCTTCCTCGCGGCAGGATACATTCCGAGTAAGAATTTCTGATTAGTCCCGTGTACCGGGTAGTGCTGCGGCTGACCCCCTTAAATAGCTGCCGCCACACTACTTCCACCTCGTGTCCTTTTCGAGGCACCGTAGATCACTGACAAATAGGATTGGAGTGATCCAATAGCTCACATAACCGTGGTTACATACGTAACCTTTTATGTAGCACTATATTGGATCACTCCAATATGGTATCACAATACCAGATTAATCAGTGAACTAGGTAAGGGCCAGACAGAGAGCAAAGTCCAGTAGGACTGAGCTCAGGGCAGTCATAATTGCTATGTCCCTCCGACCCCACTCAGGGAAGCAGAGGCAACACCCAGCACAGCCGTTCCGACCTCATTGGCGGGGGCAACAATGACTCGATAGTACCGAGAACTGGCCGAGACGCAAATGTAATTGAGGGGAACTCCTCTGAGCAGTGCCCATGATGCAGCTACTCCTCTAGTAGAATGCGCACTACAGCAGACAGAAGAGGCCGTCTGGTCAGCCGATATGCTGTAGTAATAGTGTCCACAATCCAATGTGAGAGTCTTTGTATCGATAGGCTCTGACCCAGCACTCTCTCATCATAGCAAACGAATAGCCGATCAGACTGTCGTATTGCCTGTGTCTGTGTAAAGTAAGTGTCCAAGGCCCTGACCCGGGCAGAGCACACTTGGGGGGAAAAAACATCCAGCTCACCTGCAGCCGCGGACAAATGTAAGGGCGGGTTCACGTCTGTCAAACAGGGCCTTCGGCAAGAATGAGGGGTTGAGATGGAGGGTGCACGCCTCTCTTGTCTGGACCCATTCGGAAAAACATTCAGTGCTCACTGTAAAAGCATGACGTTCACTCACACTCTTAGTGGAGGTAATAGCAAAAAGGAATGCCACCATGGATAGTTGCTTCAAAGTCATCGACTCTAGGGGCTCGAGGGCGGCTTAGCAAGCGCTGACAGTACCACATGAACGTTCCAGTTTGGCACTGAGTGGGCCATTGCTGGACACGGACGTCAAACTCCCTTCATACATTTGGAGAGCAATGGGTAGCCAGCCATGGGTCCCTCTTGGCCTTCGTCATGGCATGCCGAGATAGCAGCTAAATACACTCTCAATGTGGATGCCGCTCTGCCGCCATCAAGCAGTGACTGTGAAAACCGTAAACCGTTTGCATATATGGCTCTCAAACCAGGTACAGAATATGCCCCACCACATTTGATATGACGCATTGGTGGAAGAAACCATGGCACTCCGCAACGTGTTCACCACATTGTCCTGAAGGCCTAGACTGGTCCATCAATGCCTCTGTTTTCTCTCCTCTCAGGGACCCCATGGCAGCTGCCCGACCTTCTCTAATGGCTGGAGGGACACTGTGGCATCCAGACCCGCACCGCCTTCAGCTTCGGATGCCACAGTGTCCCCCCAGCCATTAGAGAAGGTCGGGCAGCTGCCATGGGGTCCCCGAGAGGAGAGAAAACAGAAGGCTGAACCATGGTGGTCTCGGCAAGCATGGAGCTATCAAGAGCAGCTGGTGGCCAATCAAGATAACTCTGTCTAGCGTAGCTGTGATCAGGGGAAATGGTGGAAAAGAGTAAAGCGGCGTTGCCGGCCAATCGTGAGTGAGGGTGTCCAGACCCATAGGGTCCGACATCGAGAACCAGCTGGGACAATGAGTGTTCTCCTGAAATGAAAATAGGTTCACCTGTGCTCTCACGAACCTGTCCCAAAGCTGTAGCACCACCTGAGGGTGTAGACTCTAGTCCCCCGGTGGGCTCTCTTTCGAGAGTATGACCACTGCATTGTTCAGGACCCTGGGGATATGTGCTGCTCGAGCCATTGGATCAGGAAATGCTGTCCTACCAGGTAGGGCTGGAACTGTTGAAGAGCTAGACGAACCACCCTGAGCTCCAGCACATTGATGTGTTGACCACTCCATGGGGGGCTCCAGCGGCCGCTGGCCGCCATGCCTCTGAACACGGCACCTCAACCCGTCAGAGAGGCTTCAGTGCACACCAGCTCTCTGCAGTGGACTCTGATCAGGCTCACCCCCTTTAACAAGAAGGAGTGGGATAGCCACTTCGATAGGGTCCTCAAACATGCACTCATCACCAACAGTTGACGGTGTCTGTTTTGTGTGCCGGCTGTGGGAGTTGAACCATCGCTGGAGTGGCCTGATGGAGAATGCCCAGCGGAACCAACAGTGAAGCCACCGTCAGTAGGCCGAGTAACTTTTGGCACTCTAGCTCCGACATGGCTCGTCAGGTGACTTTTCTCCTTGTTTAGGGTGAGGCCCAGAACTCGAATGTGATTCAAGAGGGTCCTCGTGTCCGTTGTGGCCTGTTCCCTGGATGGGGCAGACTATCCAATCGTCCAGGTAAGGCAGTTACTCCAGTAGAATGTGCCACCACAGCAAAAGGCAAAGGCCAGTGGGCCAGACGAAATGCTGCAGTAACAGTGTCCACCATGCAATGTTAGAGTCCGGATAGGCCCTGGCCCAGAACTCTCTCACCATAGTAAATGAAAACTGATAAAGCTTTCGTATTGCCTGCCTCTGTGAAAAGTGTCCATTGCCCTAGCCGGGGACAACACACTGGGGGAAGCCCCTAGTTCACCCGCAACAGCGAGAGGGGCGTATGTGGACAACTGTAATGGCTGGTTAACGTGTCTGTCAGACAGAACCCTTGGCCAGAATAAGGGGTTAGGATGAAGGTTGACACCCCTTCATCTGAACTCATTCGGAAACATTCAGTCAACCAGGGTGTCAACACTAGAAGACCCTGAGACATTTGAGGCGCCAAAACTATAGCGATGGCCAGCATCGGAATTGGAGTTCATAGCCTTCCATCACTGTATTCAGTGCCAATGGGGACACCACTTGCCTCTCTCAGTTTGGCCTTTGGGCCTGTGAGAAGCTGCCAAAGCCAGCGGCAAGCACCTCCGGATTACTGCGGAGTGCCACCCTTCTTAGACGCAGTCCGCTGCCTGTGGGCAGGGACACCTCGCATTTCTCAAGGCAAAAAGCCATACTGGAAATGGTAGTTTCTCTCTGTGGGAAGAAGAGATGGGGAGTGTATACCCTGCAGTGTAACAAAATAGTATGGAAACCCCAGCTACACACAGCATAAGACCAGCAGTGTTTTCTAGCTGTTATGTGAGTTTCTAAGGGAAACTAGGATAGTTACTGTCTGTACTGTGAAGTAATGTAACAGAACTATAGTTAACCCAGCTATATACTGAAACCCTCAGTGTAATAGAGCTGAGTTGTGAGTTTCCAAGGGAAACTAGCTAGGATAGTTACTGTATGTACTGTAAAGTAGTGTAACTCAAACAATCGAGCACCAACCCCTCAGTAATGTGAGTTTCCAGGTGAAACCAGGATAGTTACTGTCTTAACTGTAAGTACAACAGAAAAACTAGTAACCTCAGCTACACACTGTGCAAGACCGCAGTGTAATAGCTGAAAAGTGAGTCACTGGAAACTAGCATAGTTACTGTAAGTACTCTGTAAGTACTCTGTAGCTCAGCTGGTAGAGCACGGCGCTTGTAACGCCAGGGTAGTGGGTTCGATCCCCGGGACCACCCATACACAAAAATGTATGCACACATGACTGTAAGTCGCTTTGGATAAAAGCGTCTGCTAAATGGCATTTTATTATTATTATTATATTATTATATTATTAGTGCAACAGAAACACTATATTAAACCCAGCTACACACTGTCTGAAAAAAACAGTAGTGTAATAGAGCTGTCAGTTTCCAATTAAGGGATAGTTACTGTCTGTACTGTAAAGTAGTGCAACATAACTATAGTAAACACAGCTATGCACTGAAACCCTCAGTGTAATAGAGCTGAGATGTGAGTTTCCAAGGGAAACTATGATAGTTACTGTCTATACTGTAAAATAGTGTAACAAAAACTATCGCAAACCAGCAACTGTGTGAAGAAAACACCAGTGTAATCTCACTATGGTTGGGCTAACATAAACTCAGCCCAATACTGGAAAATGAAGCCAACAGTGTAATATTACTGTGTCTATAGTATACACTGCGCACTACTGTATAGAATGGGACCTGCTTCGAACACACCGACTGCATAATTTGCGTTTTGGTACACCAGAAGTACATTAATTTCCAATGGAACGTTTGCCTTGCAGCATTGCGTTGCAGAGGCAGTTGTAGTGCGTTCTGTGTGGTGCATACATTGGATTTATCGAATTTATGCATCAAATTGTAAGCGTAGACTTGACAGAAAGTAGAAAAATGTGAATATTGAATTTTTGTTGCACACATATCCAGTAAAACAAATTGTGGGATTACATAATAAAAACAGTTTGACTGCAGAATTTCTTTACATTTTGTATTCATTTATTTGGCAGGTAGCATACATATTATTTATTCGATGACATCTAAAAATTAATTGTGAGAGCCTATAATATAACTTCCCTCCAAAATGCATAGTTTTGGAGCGAAACACAATACTAAATAGTCAAGATAGCAGAGAGTAGGCTCTTTCATCAATGAGACCAACGTTGAGGAAGGTGGTCTTGATCGCGCTGTTGGGCTGGGACCAGCCCCGCGGAAAGTGCAGGTCTGTGTGTGTCCAGAGATGGTTGAAGTCCCGAAAGCAGGCAGGGGAGTTCCACTGTTTCATTCAAGAGCTTCGACTGTTTGGAGAGGAATTCCGAAGTTGCTTTCGTCTGGACCGAAGCCAGGTCGATCACCTGCTCCAGATGGTTGGAGCCAGGATCGCCCGGATGGATACCAACTACCGGGAGTCCATCAGCCCAGTTGAACGCCTGGCGATTTGTCTCCAGTAAGCTAAATTCAAGTGAATTTTTAAAGCCTTTGATACCGTAATTGATTGATATTAGATATATTTTATGTGAAACCTAGCTAGCTAAAGAGCTCTCTAGTTAATAGCCCCTATGTGACATCAGATGTACTTTTACAGAATGTTCTTTAGGACTATTAACTTTTCCCAAAGTTGGTTTAAAATCATTTTTTTAATGATGCAATGTTACCAAATGAAAAGAAAGTTGGGGTGCCTTCTGCCCTGATGGAGGTAGGCTAGTCTTCTCCAGGACACCTTGTTGTTCAAGACAGTTACATTCTTATTGGAATCAAAAAAAGGGTTCCAAAAGTGTCCTTCTGCTTTCCCCATAGGATAACCCTTTTTGGTTCGAATCATGTACACTCTTAGAAAAAAAGGGTTCCAAAAGTGTCCTTCTGCTTTCCCCATAGGATAACCCTTTTTGGTTCCAGGTAGAACCTTATTGGAATCATGTACACTCTTAGAAAAAAAGGGTTCCAAAAGTGTCCTTCTGCTTTCCCCATAGGATAACCCTTTTTGGTTCCAGGTAGAACCCTTTTTGGTTCCAGGTAGAACCCTTTGGGGAAAATGTTATACATGGAACCCAATAGGGTTCTACTTCAAACCAAAAGGGTTCTACCTGGAACCAAAAAGTGTTCTTCAAAGGGTTCTTCTGTGGGGACAGCCGGAGAACCCTTTTAGGTTCTAGATAGCACCTTTTTTTCTAAGAGTAGAGTTGGCCTGGGCTACAGTTTCTTGATACAGTCATAGACTGAATTGTACTGTTTCAAGGCATTGTTAATGATGGTTGATGAGTATTACAATATAATTAGTAGAGCATAATAAACAGTAATGAGGTAGCTATATGAGTAGATAGATATGTGGGTGGAATTCAAGTTACACACAATATTGATAATTATTTTGAATTATATTTCAGATTCTTGGCGACGGGACTCCTACAGGACCATTGGATTCAGCTTCCCGAGTTGGACGGTCCACGGTGGCAGGCATTGTCCCCTCTGTGACACAAGCCATTTGGGACTGTCTGGTTGGCGAATACATGCCTGTCCCCAAGGAGGAAGACTGGAGGGCCATCGCTTGCGAGTTCCTAGAGAGGTGGAATTTCCCCAACTGTCTTGGCTCCATTGACGGGAAACATGTAGCAATCCAGGCTCCACCGTGCTCGGGTTCGCAATTCTACAACTACAAGGGTACATATTCAGTTGTATTGTTGGCTGTTGTAGATGCCATCTACTGTTTCCGTGTCGTCGATGTTGGTGCTTACGGCAAGGGAAGTGATGGCGGGACCCTCCGGGTCTCTGCCTTCGGTCAGGCACTTCAGGATGGCACCCTGGAGATTCCACCACCTGCATCACTCCCTGGGGCTGAAGACCTGGGACCCGTTCCCCACGTCTTCGTCGGTGACGAGGCCTTCCCTTTGAGACCCAACCTCATGAGGCCCTATGCTGGACGCCAGCTGCCATTGCCAAAGCCTGTAAGGATCTTCAATAAACGACTGTCCAGGGCAAGGTTAGTTGTTGAATGCGCCTTTGGGATTCTGGCAGCCCGGTGGAGAATGTATCGGAGAGTGCTTGGTCTCAGCCCCTCAAATGTCGATGCCTGCGTGAAGGCCACATGTGTTCTCCACAACTACATTTACATTTACATTTTAGTCATTTAGCAGACGCTCTTATCCAGAGCGACTTACAGGAGCAATTAGGGTTAAGTGCCTTGCTCAAGGGCACATTTACGTCATTTAGCAGACGCTCTTATCCAGAGCGACTACAAATTGGTGCATTCACCCTATAGCCAGTGGGATAACCACTTTACAATTATACTATATAATTTTATTTATTTTTTTTACCTGCGGAGGGCAGGTATGCGGAGGGCATTCCAGGAGCCGCTTTGGATGGAGATGGGCACGCAAAATGGTCCCCTACCTGATGTCACCAGGGCAGGTGCCAACAACACCCCCAGACAGGCACTCCAGGTGAGGGAGAAGCTGACCACCTACTTCTCATCACCAGCAGGTGAAGTCCCATGGCAGCATGCCATGGAGTGAAACGGCTCTTTTAAGAGATCCTTAACACAAAGGTTATTTTAAGAACCATCCACCGTTGTCCATAAAATAGCATTTTTCCCCAGATTATTTTATGACACATTGTCTCTCTTCATATGGAAGTTATATTTAAGTGAAATGTGGGAGTAAAGACCACACCTTAACCCCTTCCCTTTCCCATTAACATCAGTATTATACACACCTGGCATGGTACATCAGGTGAGCAGGAGCTCTAATTAAGGTTATAAGACATACAGTTAGTATGATAACAATGGGAAAAGGTAACCTAGAGTCCAGACAAATAGTACAGTTTACCACAACCTTCACTGGTCTGACAAATTGCAGATGGAAAAAAACGAATTAGGAAGAGAATGGGGTTTTACTTTCATCTTGTTTTAGATCCGCAAAGGTTTAGGGAAGAAATAAACAGATTAAGTCTAAATGAGATACTAATAAACAAATGAAACAACTGACCTATGAAAAAAATAGAATTTAATAAGTATTGAAGTACAGGACAGGTATGTGTGTTGTAAAGATTTTACAAAAAATAAAAACGATTGAATGTATGTTCGTGTAAAAATACAAAAATTAATGTGTAGCCTGTAATCTGTAAGAGAACAACAAGAGCATGTATTTTTGGCACAACTGCAGACAGATACAGGGACTACTCATAAAGCCTAGACATAGTAGGGGAACTTCAGACATGGCCATAAAGAGAGAGAGGGCAGGGCCCTGGAGATCTGAAGTACAGAGAGGACTGGAGGAGTGGTGTGTGTGTGTCTGAAAAAACTAAAAGTGAATATGTAGCCACAATACAGGAAAACACAAATTTCACCTTTAGTCTTGTAAAAGAACAACAAGAGCATCTGAATTCTCTGGTGTGTCAGTTTCAATTTTAATGCAATCTATGTACAACTAATAATGTTGTACATAGATTATTGAGTAACTATTTACTTTATGAATTCCATGAATTTTATACTAAAAAAGCCTACTAACAAGGACATACAGTGCAAAAGTATTCATCCCCCTTGGCGTTTTTCCTATTTTGTTGCATTACAACCTGTAATTTAAATTGATTTTTATTTGGATTTCATGTAATGGACATACACAAAATAGTCCAAATTGGTGAAGTGAAATGAAAAAAATAACTTGTTTAGAAAAATTCTAAAAAATAAATAACAGAAAAGTGGTGCATGCATATGTATTCACCCCCTTTGCTATGAAGCCCCTAAATAAGATCTGGTGCAACCAATTACCTTCAGAAGTCACATAATTAGTTAAATAAAGTCCACCTGTGTGCAATCTAAGTGTCACATGATCTCAGTATATATACATCTGTTCTGAAAGGCCCCAGAGTCTGCAACACCACTAAGCAGGGAAGGAGGGCATTAATCAGAGAGGCAACAAAGAGACCAAAGATAACCCTGAAGGAGCTGCAAAGCTCCACAGCGGAGATTGTAGTATCTGTCCATAGGACAACTTTAAGCCGTACACTCCACAGAGCTGGGCTTTACGGAAGAGTGGCCAGAAAAAAGCCATTGCTTAAAGAAAAAAATAAGCAAACACGTTTGGTGTTCGCCAAAAGGCACGTGGGAGACTCCCCAAACATATGGAAGAAGGTACTCTGGTCAGATTAGACTAAAATTTAGCTTTTTGGCCATCAAGGAAAACACTATGTCTGGCGCAAACCCAACACCTCTCATCACCCCGAGAACACCATGTTTTTAATCGGCAGGGACAGGGAAACTGGTCAGAATTGAAGGAATGATGGATGGCGCTAAATACAGGGAAATTCTTGAGGGAAACCTGTTTCAGTCTTCCAGAGATTTGAGACTGGGACGGAAGTTCACCCTCCAGCAGGACAATGACCCTAAGCATACTGCTAAAGCAACACTTGAGTGGTTTAAGGGGAAACATTTAAATGTATTGGAATGGCCTAGTCAAAGCCCAGACCTCAATCCAATTGAGAATCTGTGGTATGACTTAGAGATTGCTGTACACCAGCGGAACCCATCCAACTTGAAGGAGCTGGAACAGTTATGCCTTGAAGAATGGGCAAAAATCCCAGTGGCTAGATGTGCCAAGCTTATAGAGACATTCCCCAAGAGACTTGCAACTGTAATTGTTGCAAAAGGTGGCTCTACAAAGTATTGACTTTGGGGGGGTGAATAGTTATGCACGCTCAAGCTTTCTGTTTTTTTGTATTATTTCTTGTTTGTTTCACAATAAAACATATTTTGCATCTTCAAAGTGGTGGGCATGTTGCGTAAATCAAATGATACAAACCCCCCAAAAAATCTATTTTAATTCCAGGTTGTGAGGCAACAAAATAGGAAAAATGCCAAGGGGGGTGAATACGCAAGCCACTGTATTAAGCAGAATAAGGACAGTTGGAAAATCTCAATTGAGGACAGTTGGAAAATCTCAGTTGCATTTCCTTGATTCCTCTCTCCTCACCTCCCGCTCAAAACCCATTGGAGGAGAAGGTCAGTGTGAAGGAACCTGACATTCCCTTGCTCTGACCTTCTCCAATGGGCTTTGAGAAGGAGGCGAGGAGAGAGGGCGTGAGGAGTCAAGGAAATACAGTTTAGATTCTCCCATGGACAGAGAGAGTAATACAGTCAGTCAGCCCACCCCCTCACCGGTCTGCCTGCCTTCTCCCCTCTATCTGCCTCTGCTCCATCCATATGGTTAGCCACCACCATTCATCTCAACAGCCTCCTCAGGCAGAGGGAGATAAAATGGCAGGGCACTGGAAATGTGAGGTGCCTCGAGGAGAAGAGCAGTGTGTGTGTGTGTGTGTGTGTGTGTGTGTGTGTCTGAAAAAAAGATAAAAAGAAAAGAATGTGTAACCATAACACAGCTAAACAAACAAATGGCCCCTGGACGTCATGGACCGGTCGATGGAACATAACTTCAAAAAAAGTTTAAACACCCTGGTTTTCAAGTGGTTTTAAATAAAATAAATATATTCACCTTTAGACTTGTAAGAGACCAACAAGAGCATCTGTGAATTCTCTGGTGTGTGAGTTTCAATTCTGTCAATTCAGGAATCCATGTAACACTAATAATGAATGCTATCCTAAGACTTCAGAAACAAATTACTTTATGAATTGACTGAATTTAAACGGAACTGACGTGTGTGAAAGGAAAGGTACAATGAGGGAGGTCAAAACAACAACCAGACAACTCCTCTCCTCTTCCTGTCCCTCCTGTGTGCTGGTCGGCTAAATTGACTACATCTCTGGAAGGGAAGAGAAAAACAACACATACATGCATTACATAATATAACACCATAGAAGGTGAGATTTATGTTAACTAAATACTGCTTCGAAAAGCAGCTGATGAATTTTAACCTTGACTGCTGCTTTTCTTTGCTGAGGTAGCCTCTTCAGGGTTGGCACCAGGCTCATGGCAAAGAGGGTCTCTTCATCCTCCTTCCTGTGAGCATCAGGTTGGGCTGCATCCCTCTCAACGGCTTGGAGGAGCCTCTGCTGAAATGAGTTGAGTGGATCTGGGGGCTGGTACCTCGGAAGATGCCTGGTGTGACGTTGTTCCTCTTCCTTTCTCTCCTTGTTTGTCTCCACGGCCACATCCTGTTCAACGAGGTCCTCAGTGGTCACTTCCGTGAGGGTCATAATAATTTCACTGGGTCTAGATCCTGAGGTGCTTCCTCCATTTCATCCTCTTCCATGGCTGCACCGGTGGTGGTCATACTTGTGGATGACGTAGACGTTGTAGAGGGTCTCGCTGCACCGGTGGTCGCACTTGTAGATGACGTAGAGGGTCTCGCTGCACTGGTGGAGGCGGTGGTCACACTTGTGGATGACATAGAGGGTCTAGCTGTAAAATTGCCACTTGTTGCCCTAGGCACAATAAATGGATCCAGAAAAGAAAGAATGTGGCAGAAGCGCCAAGGCCGCTGGCCTGAAGCTGCTGACCCAGACCTCTTCTTCTCTTTCTCTGCCCTTCTCGCTCTCTGATACCTGTCCCTGAGTCCTCTCCACTTCCTCCTACAGTCTTCTTCTACATAGACATGAACATTATAAGCCAAACTATTACCTAGCATAACTATAGTTATTAGATAGCTATCATGGACATGTCACCTACTGTACACACAGACACACACACAAGGTTATCTGACCAAATTATCAGGGGTAGTATCTACCATCATTTCTATTACTCTTAATCTGACATACACACTCACACTCTTTCAAACATGATTATTTGGTCAAATTATCAGGGGTAGTAACTAGCATAATTTATATTACTATTTCTCTTTCACACACACACACACCTCATTGGCTAGGTTAGCAAGATAGCTAACTAGCCACATCTAGCACAAGCTCACTACTAAACTAACCTGGCAATCCTACTATCGTGGACACTTGTCTCCAAGTCCCGGTAGCTGTCAGCAGTTGTGTCAAAAAGACACTGTTTTGAGGATACTGCGAAAATGATTATCTCCATGTGTCCAACCGCATGCGATCGTCTGCAACACCTGTGTACATACCTGCATTCAGTATAGTTGCGTAGCTGCGCAAAATGTTATGCAGCATTGATGCAATGAGAGGAGATGTGAATGGCTGTACCTTTTCCTTGTGGGAATAATTCAGCCATCAGTGTAATATACTATGTTTATAGTAAATACTGCATAATAGCAACGATTATTACAGACCAGTATCAGCCATGAATGGCTGTAGTTTACCTTGTGGAAAAATAATTCAGCAAACAGTGTAATTTGCCTGATAGTGATGGGGCATTCTACCTCACACACGTTTATAGCTTATTTCTTGCTTTATACGTGTGGGTCGCCTGTAACTCACTAATAATCCAATATAGTGCTACATAACAGATATTGATCTTATTTACATTTTTAGGACCTCATCACACACGTACAGCAAACAGCTCGAGTTTTCATTTGAGGCTGTGTTTACATCCTAGATAGAAGCAGGCCATTGGCTGCCTTTATCACGGGGTATGTACGGGAGATCTAATTGGTTCCAAGTTTATCAGTTCGGCAAATTTGCCTGAGCAGACAGGGTTGAAATATACTTTTTATGAGAAACTGTTCAAGAATTGAAGATGCCAACACATTTTATAGTCATCATAAGAATGTGTTACTGTCATATACAAAAAACAGCTCCTCCATCGACAGAGCTCCGCTCCACTCATAGAACTGGAGTTACACTCCGGTAACTAATCGATCAACATCACGTTTTTCGGGTTCGGCCCACCACCCATACCACTAATTCCAGATTGGAGGAAATCCATATGACGTTGGACCAATCATATCATTATTTTGAGCTACCAGCCAATATAATTCGAGTCTGTTATTATCGGGTATTTCGATTGGTGTTAATCTTCGACCCCTTATTTATACCAGGAAGTTTATTGTGTTTACATAGTGCCCCTGCAATGAAATAATTATCCTCTTTCAACAAGGTTAGCTAGATGTTTCATATTAATGTAATTGTCACGGTGTTTGCTAGTAGATAAGTAAAGAGCTGTAATTATCTTCAAGCTCGAGCTAGCTAACGTTAGGTAAATTATGTCACCGACACCTGTCATGTAGCTAGAAGTCACGATAGCTAGCTAGCTAACGTTACATCAGATCAGAAGCCTTGGATGCTTCAAGCCTTCAGACAGTTTGAAGTCATGTGCCCGTTTTATTGTCGAGGGCTACCGACCTGTCACTGATAGTGTTGTCCAATGTGCACACAGGGCCATGGGGAACATCGACAGTGTTGTGGTGCAGAAACGGCTGGCCCGTTTTCGCCCAGAGGAGCGGCCCGTTGTGGAGGGAGTGTTCGATCGGCTTCACGGCGCGAGTTCTGCAAGTGGCGCTGGAAAAGCAGGGACGGTTTTAACGCTGGGCATGTTGAAGGTGAGGGTGGAGTTACTATGATGAAATTACATTTTATTTATAAAATCGAGGATATCTAATCAATTAACCTCCAGAATCAAAATCTTGTTTAAAATCTTCTAATAAGAAATCAAATAATACAGAAATATGTAAATTCTCGCATTGCAAGAAGGTTAAGATATGTAATAACTGTAATAACAATGTGTATAATAACAAATGTATATGTAATAACTGTGGTTATTACTTTGCAGATATTTAACAGTACCCGTATGTGAGATATAACATGCATATCTTCTGTCATGTAGCCCTGTATGGGAAACATTGCCTCTGACTCTATGATAAAGAGGGTCTATGCTGGGATGTGTAGCATGGACCCCGGAGTGGCCCCTCCTCCCCCTAGGGCTGGGGTGAGCCGGGAGCAGCTGGTGGTCTTCCTGGCCGATGTCCTGCGAGGCACTGCAGAGGAACGGGCGCCCCTTGTCATGGCAATGGCTCGGGGGGCAGGGACAGGTGTTGCCACATGTGACCAAATAATAGAGGTTAGTAGACCCTCAGAAGGTCTTCTGCAAGAGCTCCTGTGTTGTTAGCGGAACATGCATTTTAGCTCAGAACTCAAATTAATTAGGCTCTGATTTCAGTTCTTGCAGGACCTGGTTTCTGCTGTGGTGCAGATCATCATCCAGAAGGGTCGTCTGCAGGGCTGGAAGCCAGAGCGTATGGCTGACGGTTCCATTGGTGTTAAACTATTGGCTGAACAGATGAGCTCTGAACTAAAACCCTCAGGTAAAGGGATGGAGGGATAATTTACTGATTAGGTTTTCAGAATAGAGTGAATAGGGAAGGAGATAAAGCTTGCTCACCCAGATTTCATATTTTCAATAATTCAGATTCACACGTATTACTGTATCAACAACAAAACCTGACATTCTGTCCTTCCCTCTCAGATCAGCACACCTGTGACATCCCATGTTTGGAGGACTGGCTGTTCAGAGTTTCCAATGTGGCCATGTACATGGACCTTCTGATAGGTGAAGGCCTGAACGTGGGCTTAACCTCCCGTCCCCCTCCCACCCTACTGCCCCCCTGCCGGGAAACCCCGTGGGAGAAGCTGCGCTGCCTGCTGGACCTGTCCGTGCTGATGTTCCTCACACCACAGTTACCTGATGGGTACAACACCCCCTGGAAGCTGCTTTTCTCAACTCAGCTGCATGGGGAGAGCTTCACCAAAATAGTGGGCAGCTGTAAAGGCCGCGGGCCCACCGTGCTCCTGATCAAAGACACTAAGGGACACATCTTTGGTGGCTTCGCCTCCCATGGCTGGGAAGTAAAGCCTCAGTTCCAAGGTGAGAGTGGTGGTGGATGGAAGTATCAATCGGTAGAAACAGGCTCACGGCCTATTGAGATTGCTGCAGAGATATTTAAGCCCATTTTTGTAATGTATGCTGACATACAGTGGGGAAAAAAAGTATTTAGTCAGCCACCAATTGTGCAAGTTCTCCCACTTAAAAAGATGAGAGGCCTGTAATGTTCATCATAGGTACACGTCAACTATGACAGACAAATTGAGAAAAACAAATCCAGAAAATCACATTGTAGGATTTTTTAATGAATTTATTTGCAAATTATGGTGGAAAATAAGTATTTGGTCACCTACAAACAAGCAAGATTTCTGGCTCTCACAGACCTGTAACTTCTTCTTTAAGAGGCTCCTCTGTCCTCCACTCGTTACCTGTATTAGTGGCACCTGTTTGAACTTGTTATCAGTATAAAAGACACCTGTTCACAACCTCAAACAGTCACACTCCAAACTCCACTATGGCCAAGACCAAAGAGCTGTCAAAGGACACCAGAAACAAAATTGTAGACCTGCACCAGGCTGGGAAGACTGAATCTGCAATAGGTAAGCAGCTTGGTTTGAAGAAATCAACTGTGGGAGCAATTATTAGGAAATGGAAGACATACAAGAACACTGATAATCTCCCTCGATCTGGGGCTCCACGCAAGATCTCGCCCCGTGGGGTCAAAATGATCACAAGAACGGTGAGCAAAAATCCCAGAACCACACGGGGTGACCTAGTGAATGACCTGCAGAGAGCTGGGACCAAAGTAACAAAGCCTACCATCAGTAACACACTACGCCGCCAGGGACTCAAATCCTGCAGTGCCAGACGTGTCCCCCTGCTTAAGCCAGTACATGTCCAGGCCCGTCTGAAGTTTGCTAGAGTGCATTTGGATGATCCAGAAGAGGATTGGGAGAATGTCATATGGTCAGATGAAACCAAAATATAACTTTTTGGTAAAAACTCAACTCGTCGTGTTTGGAGGACAAAGAATGCTGAGTTGCATCCAAAGAACACCATACCTACTGTGAAGCATGGGGGTGGAAACATCATGCTTTGGGGCTGTTTTTCTGCAAAGGGACCAGGACGACTGATCCGTGTAAAGGAAAGAATGAATGGGGCCATGTATCGTGAGATTTTGAGTGAAAACCTCCTTCCATCAGCAAGGGCGTTGAAGATGAAACGTGGCTGGGTCTTTCAGCATGACAATGATCCCAAACACACCGCCCGGGCAACGAAGGAGTGGCTTCGTAAGAAGCATTTCAAGGTCCTGGAGTGGCCTAGCCAGTCTCCAGATCTCAACCCCATAGAAAATCTTTGGAGGGAGTTGAAAGTCCGTGTTGCCCAGCGACAGCCCCAAAACATCACTGGAGATCTGCATGGACATCTAGAGGAGATCTGCATGGAGGAATGGGCCAAAATACCAGCAACAGTGTGTGAAAACCTTGTGAAGACTTACAGAAAACATTTGTGCTGTGTCATTGCCAACAAAGGGTATATAACAAAGTATTGAGAAACTTTTGTTATTGACCAAATACTTATTTTCCACCATAATTTGCAAATAAATTCATTAAAAATCCTACAATGTGATTTTCTGGATTTTGTTTTCTCATTTTGTCTGTCATAGTTGACGTGTACCTATGATGAAAATTACAGGCCTCTCTCATCTTTTTAAGTGGGAGAACTTGCACAATTGGTGGCTGACTAAATACTTTTCCCCCCCACTGTATACAGTATGTTGTCCATCTCTAATCAGTGCTCATCTCTGGATGTGTGTGTTTGTGACTGGATTGTCTTGAGTGTAGGAGACTCCAGGTGCTTCCTGTTCTCAGTATTCCCCTGTCTACGGGTGTACACCTGCACAGGATACAACCAGCACTACATGTACCTCAACCAGGGCCAGCAGACCATGCCCAACGGCTTGGTGAGACACAGCACTACTACATACATCTCAACTGCACAATCTCACCTGAACATTTTGTTTTACAATCTGTTACTATAATTGTATGTGAAATACCACACAAGTAACTACAGTGGCTTGCGAAAGTATTCACCCCCCTTGGCATTTTTCCTATTTTGTTGCCTTACAACCTGGAATTAAAATAGATTTTTGGGGGTTTTGTATCATTTGATTTACACAACATGCCTACCACATTGAAGATGCTAAATATTTTTTATTGTGAAACAAACAAGAAATAAGACAACTTGAGCGTGCATAACTATTCACCCCCCCCCCCCAAAGTCAATACTTTGTAGAGACACCTTTTGCAGCAATTATAGCTGCAAGTGTCTTGGGGTATGTCTCTATAAAATTGGCACATCTAGCCACTGGGATTTTTGCCCATTCTTCAAGGCAAAACTGCTCCAGCTCCTTCAAGTTGGATGGGTTCCGCTGGTGTATAGCAATCTTTAAGTCATACCACAGATTCTCAATTTGATTGAGGTCTGGGCTTTGACTAGGCCATTCCAAGACATTTAAATGTTTCCCCTTAAACTACTCGTGTGTTGCTTTAGCAGTATGCTTAGGGTCAATGTCCTGCTGGAAGGTGAACCTCCGTCCCAGTCTCAAATCTCTGGAAGACTGAAAAGGGTTTGCCTCAAGAATTTCCCAGTATTTAGCGCCATCCATCATTCCTTAAATTCTGACCAGTTTCCCAGTCCCTGCCGATGAAAAACATCCCCACAGCATGATGCTGCCACCACCATGCTTCACTGTGGGGATGGTGTTGTCGGGGTGATGAGAGGTGTTGGGTTTGCGCCAGACATAGCGTTTTCCTTGATGGCCAAAAAGCTCAATTTTGGTCTCATCTGACCAGAGAACCTTCTTCCATATGTTTGGGGAGTCTCCCACATGCCTTTTGGCGAACACCAAATGTGTTTGCTTATTTTTTTCTTTAAGCAATGGCTTTTTTCTGGCCACTCTTCTGTAAAGCCCAGCTCTGTGGAGTGTACGGCTTAAAGTGGTCCTATGGACAGATACTCCAATCTCCGCTGTGGAGCTTTGCAGCTCCTTCAGGGTTATCTTTGGTCTCTTTGTTGCCTCTCTGATTAATGCCCTCCTTGCCTGGTCTGTGAATTTTTGTGGGCGGCCCTCTCTTGGCAGGTTTGTTGTGGTGCCATATTCTTTCCATTTTTCAATAATGGATTTAATGGTGCTACATGGGATGTTCAAAGTTTTGGATATTTTTTTATAACCCAACCCTGATCTGTACTTCTCCACAACTTTGTCCCTGACCTGTTTGGAGAGCTCCTTGGTGTTCATGGTGGCGCTTGCTTGGTGGTACCCCTTGCTTAGTGGTGTTGCAGACTCTGGGGCATTTCAGAACAGGTGTATATATATACTGAGATCATGTGACAGATCATGTGACACTTAGATTGCACACAGGTGGACTTTATTTAACTAATTATGTGACTTCTGAAGGTAATTGGTTGCACCAGATGTTATTTAAAGGCTTCATAGCAAAGGGAGTGAATACATATGCACGCACCACTTTTCCGTTATTAATTTTTTAGAATTTCTTGAAACAAGTAATTTTTTTCATTTCACTTCACAAATTTGGACTGTTTTGTGTATGTCCATTACATGAAATCCAAATAAAAATCCATTTAAATTACAGGTTGTAATGCAACAAAATAGGAGAAATGCCAAGGGGGATGAATACTTTTGCAAGGCACTGTATATATCATATGAACTACCACATGCCTATGCTTCAACAGTAGTTTTTCTTAACCCAAGCAATGTAATTTCTTTAATTTGCTTATGATCAGGGCATGGGTGGTCAGCATGGCTACTTTGGCCTGTGGCTGGACAGTGATTTTGGCCGTGGGCATAGCCGGGCACGGCCTCGCTGCACTACCTACGGCAGCCCTCAGCTCTCTGCTGAGGAGGACTTCACCCTGGACTCTCTGGAGGTGTGGGGGGTTGGGAAGCCCCCTGAGGAGGAAGAGGTCAGTATCAACCTGGACATTCTCTGCTTTCTTACTCCTTTGATCCCACTTATTTCTTCTAATATTTTATGAATTCTGTCTCTTTTAATGCTGTGCTTGTATCAGTGTGTTCCTCATTTTTACCTGCAGGTGGAGATAGAGGCACATTCAATTAATTTGTAGGAAGTAACCTACCGCGTACACTGAGTATACCAAACATTAGGAACACCTTCCTAATATTGCGTTGCACCCCCACCCTTTTCCCCTCAGAACAGCTTCAATTTGTCTGGGCATGGACTCTACAAGGTGTCGAAAGCGTTCCACAGGGATGCTGGCCCATGTTGACTCCAATGCTTCCCACAGTTGTGTCAAGTTGGCTGGATGTCCTTTGGGTGGTGGACCATTCTTGATACACACAGGAAACAGTTTTGTCGGAAACACCCAGCAGCGTTGCAGTTCTTGACACAAACCGGTGCGCCTGGCACCTACTACCATACCCTGTTCAAAGGCACTTCAATATTTTGTCTTGCCCATTCACCCTCTGAATGGCACACATACACAATCCATGTCTCAAGGCTTAAAAATCCTTCTTTAACCTGTCTCCTCCCCTTCATATACACTGATTGAAGTGGATTTAACAAGTTACATTAATAAGGGATCATAGCTTTCACCTGGATTCACCTGGTCAGTCTGTCATGGAAAGAGAAGTTGTTCTTAATGTTTTGTACACTCAGTGAATATTCATTGATTTATTGTATTCATGACTTGTCATGAGGACATCAATGATGTTGGGGTGTTTTGTTGCAGGGAGCGACAGGAGGCAAGAGGAGTGTCCTGGATGCAGACCCTGAGGTTCAGGCCATGATGGAGATGGCAGGGAAGACCCTTCACAGCCAGGGCCTGCGAGAGCCAGAGGAGGACAATGGATAATGAGACATGTAGACATTATATAGATTTATCACAGTTTCTTCTCAGACAAGACATTTCAAGAAGACATTTTGAAGAAAAGAGTGCACTAATCTCCTAGGGGCCGATTCCGACCCGAGTTAAGCGCGTGTGAATGGAACGTAATTCCCTTTTTTTCTCTCTACACTTACTCTGACCTTGAACTTAAGCATGAGAATAGCATGCTATTCACCCACAATTTTTTTGGGGTGGAGATCGAATAAATCTGTAAGTAAGTGTGTCTACAGATACGCTGTATTCTGGCCTTGACTTAATTCCCTAATAATTTCACCACCTTTACACCATGAATAAGGTCTAGCGAACCTACCGGTTCCAAGTGGAAAAAGCATCTACTTAAGCCATAACAGTTTGAACCCGACACATGGCGCAATACTTGGCTGTCATCATCATACAGTTCCATGGTTAGTGCAGGCAATAGATTAGGATATAGCCTACTATTCTCCCTATTATAATTCTATGTACAGTACACTAATCTTCCAACATTACAATGGGTTGAAGAACTGAATGTGGCAATTTTCAGAATGAATCAAACCACTTTTCTTTCTTTCGTGCATAAAGGCTCTCCTAACCTGTTTTTTATGATTCATAAATACTTTCCTAAGCCTAAATAACCTGCAAGATCAGAGTATTTTTTAAATCTACCAATTGGTGTTGAAACGGAGACAATTATGTATATATTTAGTTCACTTTCATTCATGATCCCTAATATTCTGAACCCGTTCTCTCAATAACTTCTAGTGAGTCTGTGGACAAAATTCTAACTAAGAGGTACACCGTATTTAAAGAGATGGCTTAAGATAAACGTACTGAACCCTATTGAATGAAAACTCAACACGAAAATTTGTTGGCCAGCAAGTGGGAGGGTTATCAGCAGTTGAATTACATGTATTCAGCACGCGCAAGGGAACCACGCCGGCAAATCCCGTTCGTTACGCACCTGCACAATTAGGCCCCTAGCACCTACATTTGTGTATTTTTATGTGTGTGTGTGTGTAGATGGTTAAGTCTGAGATTTTTAATCTGTGTGTGAACTACTGTACTGTTGGCTACATTAAATGAACAGGACACCAGGTGTGGCCCACTCACATCAACCTTTATCTTCTGTGTCTGAGCTCAGGTGAACAAGTATTTAAAGAGATATTGGAATTGATTAATAATTAGGATTGTCATAAGTCATTGTTTTGCTTTGATGGCTTTTTATTCCAAAGTGTTTAGTGTGGATCCTATATGTAAACATTGTTTCACCTATTACATGAATGGTATGTAAAAACTTATGTTTTTAAAGTATGACGCTAGATAGCCATGATGGCTTATCTACTACTTTACAGCACCAATAACTGTAAACTTCCAGGAGGCAATTTACAGTAATGAAGCCTACATAACCTACTCTGGCGGTTCTCTCATTCACTGTACTGCCTCGCTGGGTTTAGTACTCTGGTTGGCTGATCGCGCCTCTTCATATTTTTATGCAAATTACGAGGGAAAGTGACGTTACATACGCAAATCAGCAGTTTAATTTCCATGTAGACGCAGTGAATGGGATAGAACATAGATCAGACATTTTCACAACAACTTTCTTAGAAATCTTTAAATCTTTCATCGGCATATTGTAGTCACTGAGCGTTTCTTTAATATTAGATATTGATTTTAGGCTATGTATGTAATGGTATTAATAATAGTAATGGTTCATTGGAAAAGACATTCAAATTATGAAACGATTAAATAAACTCAGTTGATATTTCTCAAATTGTCATCTCTGATAGCGGTGCAGTGCAAGCCTCGTACAAACCATCCTGATCTCGCTAGCTTACATTCTGTTTTGCTACACGGATACATATTCAGTTTCGCTACACGGGGGGTGCTGTGGGATTATTTAAGATACACTGAATACTTTGAAGAGGTAGGGTTTCAGGTGTTTTCGGAAGATGTTTTCGGAGATGGGCAAGGACTCTGCTGTCCTAGCTTCATGGGGAAGCTGGTTCCACCAATGGGGTGCCAGCCGGCCAGAGGTGGCAAAACGGAGTACTTGGGTTGGGGTATAGGGTTTGAGCAGAACTTGAAGGTAGGGAGGGGCAGTTCCTGTCACAGCTCCGTAGACAAGTACCATGGTCTTGTAGTGGATGCGAGCTTCGACTGAAAGCCAGTGGAGTGTACGGAGGAGCGGGTTGATATGGGAGACTTTTGGAAGGTTGAACACCAGGCAGCCTGCAGCGTTCAGTATAAGTTGCAGGGGTTTGATGGCACAAGCGGAAAGCCCAGCCAACAGTTGCAGTAGTCCAGACGGGCGATGCCTGGATTAGGACCTGCGCCGCTTCCTGTGTGAGGTATGGTCGTACTCTACAGATGTTGTGGAGCATGAACCTGCAGGAGCGAGTCACTGCTTTGATGTTTGTAGAGAACGACAGGGTGTTGTCCAGGGTCATGCCAAGGTTCTTTGCACTCTGGGAGGGGGACACTGTGGAGTTGTCAACCTTGATGGAGAGGTCTTGGAGCGGGCAGGCCTTCCCCGGGATAAAGAGCAGCTCCATCATGTCGAGGTTGAGCTTGTGGTGGTGGGCTGACATCCAACCTGAGATATCTGCCAGGCACGCAAAGATGCGTGTCAAGGGGGGAAGGAGAAAAGTAGTTGAGTGTCATCCGCATAGCAAGGATAGGAGAGACCATGTGAGGATATGACGAAACCGAGTGACTTTGTGTATAGAGAGGGCCTAGAACCGAGCCCTGGGGGACACCAGTAGTGAGAGTACGTGGTGCAGACAAAGATCCTCTGCACATCACCTGGTAGGAGTGGCCTGCCAGGTAGGATGCGATCCTAGAGTGTGCAGAGCCTGAGACGCCCAGCCCTCTGAGAGGGTGCAGAGGAGGATTTGAAGGTTCATGGGGTCGAAGGCAGCAGATAGATCTAGGAGGATGAGAACAGAGGAGAGAGAGTCAGCTTTGGCAGTGCAGAAAGCCTCCGTGACACAGAGAAGATCAATCTCGGTTGAGTGACCCATCCTGAGACAGCATTCTCAAGTTTTTTGGAAAGAAAATAAAGAAGTAGTTTTTACGTCAGAGGGGTCGAGTGTTGGTTTCTTGACAAGGGTTTCTAGTCGCAGGATTTCATCTGGAGAGAGAAGGGAGAAAGAGGTCAAGGTGTAGGGTAGTTCTGTGTGAGTGGGACCAGTGGACTCAATAGGCTGAGTGAATGAGGAGCGGATGTCGTCAACCTTCTTTTCAAAGTGGTTGACAAAGTCGTCCGCAGAGAGGGAGGAGGGAGGGGGTGGACAATTAAGGAGGGAGGAGAATGTGGAAAATAGTTTCCTAGGGTTAGAGGCAGAAGCTTGACATTTAGAGTGATAAAGTGGCTTTAGCAGCAGATACAGATGAAGAGAGGGTAGAGAGGAGGGAGTGAAAAGATGATCGGTCCTCCGGAAGCTCACAATGAGTCACTCAGCTACGGAGCAGGAGGGGAGGGCTGAGGCGGCCCCGGAAAATACTAAGAAACCTGCCTAAATGACTACCGACCCGTAGCACTGACGTCTGTAGCCATGAAGTGATTTGAAAGGCTGGTCATGGCTCACATCAACACCATTATCCCAGAAACCCTAGACCCACTCCAATTTGCATACCGCCCCAACAGATCCACAGATGATGCAATCTCTATTGCACTCCACACTGCCCTTTCCCACCTGGACAAGAGGAACACCTACGTGAGAATGCTATTCATTGACTACAGCTCAGCATTCAACACCATAGTGCCCTCAAAGCTCATCACTAAGCTAAGGATCCTGGGACTAAACACCTCCCTCTGCAACTGGATCCTGGACTTCCTGACGGGCCGCCCCCAGGTGGTAAGGGTAGGTAACAACACATCTGCCACACTGATCCTCAACACGGGGGCCCCTCAGGGGTGCGTGCTCAGTCCCCTCCTGTACTCCCTGTTCACCCATGACTGCATGGCCAGGCACGACTCCAACACCATCATTAAGTTTGCCGACGACACAACAGTGCTAGGCCTGATCACCGACAACGATGAGACAGCCTATAGGGAGGAGGTCAGAGACCTGGCCGTGTGGTGCCAGGATAACAACCTCTCCCTCAACGTGACCAAGACAAAGGAGATGATTGTGGACTACAGGGGGAAAAAAAGAGGACTGAGCACGCCCCCATTCTCATCGACGGGGCTGTAGTGGAACAGGTTGAGAGCTTCATGTTCCTTGGTGTCCACATCACCAACGAACTATCATGGTCCAAACACACCAAGACAGTCGTGAAGAGGGCACGACAAAGCCTATTCCCCCTCAGGAGACTGAAAAGATTCGGCATGGGTCCTCAGATCCTCAAAAAATTCTACAGCTGCACCATCGAGAGCATCCTGACAGGTTGCATCACCGCCTGGTATGGCAACTGCTTGGCCTCCGACCGCAAGGCACTACAGAGGGTAGTGCGTACGGCCCAGTACATCACTGGGGCCAAGCTTCCTGCCATCCAGGACCTCTATACCAGGTGGTGTCAGAGGAAGGCCCTCAAAATTGTCAAAGACTCCAGCCACCCTAGTCATAGACTGTTCTCTCTGCTACCGCACGGCAAGCGGTACCGGAGTGCCAAGTCTAGGTCCAAAAGACTTCTCAACAGCTTCTACCTCCAAGCCATAAGACTCCTGAACAGCTAATCATGGCTACCCGGACTATTTGCACTGCCCCCCCACCCCATCTTTTTACGCTGCTGCTACTCTGTTAATTATTTATGCATAGTCACTTTAACTCTACCCACATGTACATATTACTTCAACTACCTAAACTAGCCGGTGCCCCCGCACATTGACTCTGCACCAGTACCCCCCTGTATATATAGCCTCCCTACTGTTATTTTATTTGACTTCTGCTCTTTTTTTCTCAACACTTTCTGGTTGTTATATTTTACTTTTTTATAAAAAATAAATGCACTGTTGGTTAAGGGCTGTAAGTAAGCATTTCACTGTAATGTCTGCACCTGTTGTATTCGGCGCATGTGGCCAATAAGATTTGATTTAATTTGATTTGAAGAAAGGGGACAGTGCAAGTCATAGGATGCAGAAAGGGAAGATAGTTGGGTTGAAGAGGCAGAATCAGGAGACGGGAGGAAGAAGGATTTAGTAGAAGGGAGAGATGATAGGATAGAAGAGGAGAGAGTAGTGGGATAGAGAGAGTGAAGATTGCGACGGTGCATGACCATCTG